TTAAAGAAAAAAAAAAGAATTTTGATGTACTTTTTAAAAAAACAATCTTTATAAAACTCTCTAAAAGTTTATTTTTTAAAAAGAATAATATCTTTTTGTAACTTTTTTATCAAATACCTTTTAACCACTTATAAACTCATAAAACATAAGATGTTTTTAAGAGCTTATAAAACTTATTTCCTCTAAGCTAATTTTCAATTCCTAATTAACCCTTAACCTTTTTCAGTAGGGCTGAGAGAACCTCTGTCGTTCCCACCACATGTCTCCGATGAAAAAACAACATCGCTTTTGCCTTTTTACTATTTTGCCCAAACAAAACTTTCTAGCCTCATAAAATCAAATATCATAACACATTCGGTAGAGAGAGAAAGAAGAGAGAGAGTAAAACTATACAAAGAAAAAAAGCAGAAGCTGAAAAGCCCAAAATCCAGTGAAACAGGATGAAGGTTTCACTGAAACTCCAAGACCACCACCACCACCAAACCCACCACAAGAACCACCACCACCACCACCTGCCGCCGCTCCTCGTTCGCGCCAAATTACCCTTAACTATCTTCGATCTTCCATTTCTCTCCCACTTCTCCACCACCACCACCCACCCCTCCGATCTCGCCCTTTCTCTCTCCACCAATTTCCTCACCGGCCCCTCCCTCAAACTCTCCTACGCCACCGCCGCCGCCGCCGCCGCCGCCGCAACCCCACCCCTTAGCCTCACCCTCAAATCAGGCACTGGCCTCTTCGGCTCACCCAACAGCTCTCCTCTGGTCATCTCCGCTCACTTCTCTTTCAACCCTTCTAACCCCAACAACCCTAACCCTACTTTCTCTCTCTTCTTCAAACCCCAACTCGGATCTTTCTCTCTCCGAAAATCCACCTTCTCCCACACCGAATCGAGCGCCGCCGCCGCACCCACAGCTGTAGACGCCGGCTGCGATTCCAACAACTCCTTCGGATTCGTTCCATTGGAGCGGCCCCCGAAGGATCTATCAGTTGAAAAAATTGAAAAAGATTCAATTTTTAAGGGTATTCAACTCACTGCAAGGACAGAGATACCTCTGGCGAAGAGAATTGCATTCAATTTTAGATGGCGTGCCGATTTCGCGGAGGATCATATGCCGGTTTTGAGAATCAATAAGATTGGTATTCATAGGGTTTACGATGTAGCGAAGGATGACGATGAGAAGAAGAAAACAAGCGATAGCGAAGTAGAGGCGTTGAAAGGCATGTGTTTTTGGATGAAAAGAGAATTGGATGCTGTGACTAGGGTTAATAGGGAGATGAAGTGTGAGTTGGAAGAAATGAGAGCGGGCAATTTCGTCCGAAACGGTGGTTTTAGGGAGGGGAATGGGAACAAGGCGATGGGTTCGGTCGAGAGTAATTCGGGTGGGTTTGATAAGTGGAGAAGCAAGAGAAATGGCGGTGGTAAAGAAAGTGGCGAAAACGGGAATGGGAAACGGGAAGAGAAAAAGAATGCGTGTCTTGCCGTTGATGTCGAGAATGAGTTGCAGAGAGCTATAATGGCGGCTGCTTCTTCTTCTTGATGAGGTTTGATTTTGTGTGCAAATGTATATAAGTAAGAATTAGAGTATGGTTTTAGTGTGTGTGTGTGTGTGTGTGTGTTTATTTTTGAATATGGGATTGTATATTTTCGATACCGAGCCAAGAAACGAGACTTCGTGTTTTGGAGTTGCATTTGAGGCTAATAAAGCCATGAAATTTCTGTACTGTATTGTATGAAGATTTGATTTTCATGACGTATATCTTTGTGTATTGCTTCCTTTTATAGCTGAGCTTTTTTACCGGGAGGAGCGGGAGTCGATTGTAGATTTTTTAAGTTGCTGTTAATGTGCCTATCCGTTTTTTGCTGATGCACTCGTTTTGCAAAGGATACTACTACAGCTTCATTGCTATTTAAGTTTGCATTTATATTAACGTACTAAGTCATGATTTGTACGAAGCGATGACAGTACACGATGCTTCCTTGAGATGCAATAACTCCTTACCAGCATTTTCTGGTGTTGTTTGTTTACTTCGAAAATGTAATCATTGCCTCACAGAAATATGGATTTCATTATACAGTTGAAAAATTATAACCCCCGGGAAGAGGAGTCGAGATTTCATCGTCTCGAACTGAAAGTGGTTGTGATATTATTTGTATTCCTTTTCTCTTGTGGTTGTTGTTGAATAATGTTGTGCTGCTAAGAATTTTGTGTATTCTACTAAGTTTCGATACGGACGAAGATGGGAGCTTCTAATTTGTTTTCGATCTTGAGTGCTTTTCCCTTCCATTACTTTTTCTAGGCATGGATTAAATTCTTAGGTATTGCAAGCTAATAATAGTAGATGCTAGATACCAGCTCTCTTATTGAGGGTTGGTTTAATCAACCTTTTGGATGAAAGGATTTGATTCAGAGAAGGGATTGGAATGTTATTTCTATACTACACCTGATGAAGGTTGAACGGGGACATGTGGGTGTGGGTGTAGCATAGTATAGACCCGATTTGGAATGATTGGATGAAACCACATGAATTTGTGGATTTATAACTAAAAAGTAGTGGCGGAGATTTGAAATCCATCACCAAATCATTCAATCCAAATAAGTACGAAAATATTTGTTATTATAAATTTGAAATGTCTCCTCCAAATCCTTCTGGTGAAAGATTTATTGCAACAATATGATGTTTATCAGCGATTTAAGACGCCGCATGAAGCCATAAGGGCATCTACAACTGCTGCCAATTCCTACTCGAATATGGACCGCAATGTCATTGAGGGATTACCACCTTGTAATTAATACAAGACTAGCAACTTCAGTCTTCAGTCCATATTGGGCAGTCTTCACCCGTGCAATCCATGGCAGTGTGCAAAAGTTTATTATGCTTGAGAACAAAAATGCAAAAACCGGGGTAAGGGCGAAAAATATCTTATATTTTAGTGGAATCTGGAGAGTGCTATTCACCAAAAAAAGAAAAAAAAAAAAAAAAACCAATAAGTGAAGTTAGCGGTGAAATTTTGGTGGAACGAATCGACATTAATTTTTTCGAAAAAAATCATTTTTTTTTTAAGTACAAAACTAATTCAAATTCCAACTTCAAAATTTTTGAAATCTAAAAATTCGTTATAATTCCAAAAACTATGGAAATTTCGGAAATCACATAAGTTTTAACATTCTTAAAATATTTCGGAAACTTAACTAAATTTTCAAAAATAAAAAACACCCACTTTCATAGAAGGTTGCAATTATTCGGAATACTACAAATTGCTTCACGGATACTGTCATAGGGGTTTATTTCCTCAAGAAATTTTCGTCTGTACGGTCTGATTTGTCCACCAAATTAGTCAGCATTCTTCTTGATTCTCTCCGCACAAACACACACAAATAGAAGTCTTTTAAGCCAACGTAAACAATAACAAGAGTATGCAGTGGAAAATAACACATTAGCACGTTTACGGGCAATGCCCAACCTTTAAATTAATTTCCTACAAAGAAAACTAAGGTGCACACTCAAAATCCTCACTCAGAATGCCCACAATTGCAATCTAAACTATCTAATACTAGATTGGTCGGATTTGTGCACACAAAGCCATATAAATACAAGGAAGAAGGTAGTTTTCACACAAAACTACCTAAGGACACTTGGCAGCCAACTAGTCTAACACTTGGCTAATTATTACAAGTAATAAGGGGCAGTTTTGCATGCTTTGCAGCCCTCAACCGCTCCGCAACTTCCCTCAAAACCGCCCATATGGTCGGTTGTCGGGGCCTGCCTTGCTCGGGCGCGCGCGTGCGCACAAAACGGCCCAAAACAGCCCGGCCGTTTGCTAGGCAGCCCGTCTACCTTACCTTGTCCGCACACTTTACTTGCCTCGCCAATCACTTGCTAGTTCTTTGCCCACATGGTCATTAGCACACCCGCACATCGAGCTGCCTTCCTTGACTTGCCAACTGGTCGTGCCAACTTGCCCACACTTGTCAAGTCGTGGTCGATTACCTTCGAACGTTTGTTTGCCCAAGTTCTCGGCCACATGCCGATTGCTGCCCACGCTTGTCCGCATTCGCTGCCGAGCAACGCCCGTGCCAGCCATAAGTACTTTCAATCACCGTTCCCACTTGATTCAAGACGTTCCTCGTTTTATCAGACAAACACCCCAAATGCTTGCCCAAAACTCGACCCCTCATTGGCCGATTGTGTGGTTGTCTTGTGCCAACCTTTGCTTGGCACTATTTCTCGATCACACTCGAGTCATAACCGATGTCACCGACTAAGGGGGTAACAGATACCCTTAATAAAAAGACTATGATACCCTTAATAAAATTAAAAAACACTAAATTTCTTTATGCAAGACCACACTGACAACCCCCCTCTCTCCTTCATAAACCCATTACACACAAAATCTTCAAAAAAAATATCTTCTATCTTCTCCAAAAAATATAAACACCAAAAACCCTCAAAACCCCTTCAAAACTTACAAAGGAGGACATTATGGAGTCATAAAGACATCAATAATAAAGATTCTATAGAAAATTAATAACAAAAAGAAAACTATGTATTAATGTATATAGTTAGGTGGTCAATTTTTTTTGAGTTTTCAAAAACAAATTCGCGCAGTCAAAATTCAACATAAACATGTTGATTTTTGTCAAAAACATCGACATTTAGATGTCGATTTTTTGCCAAAACATTTGACATCTCTACATCTAGATGTTGATTTTATGGCAAAAAATCAACATGCACAGGTCGGTTCTTCTCCCTCTCCTCCTCATTTTTCCTTCTCTTCTTCCTGCATGGCGGTTATGCGAAGCGTGAGCAACACGGTATGACGACGGCGGTTGCGCGGTTGTAGTGCATAGGGGGTTGTGTGCGGCGGTGTGGGTGGCGTCGGTTGTGGGCAACGGCGGTCGTCGGCGATGGAGGCGACGCTATGGTTTTTTTTTTCTTGATTGTTCTTCTCCCTTCTCTTCTCTTGTTTCATTTTTTTTATCTTGCAATAGGTAATATTGGAGATATTAATATTAAATGATACATTTGCACTAAAAGCTTAAGGTTTTGGTTGAGATGGTCATTCAACATAGTATCAAAGTAAAACCAAATGAAAAAGGTCCTGAGTTCGAATTTCACAACCACGCATTTCAAATATTTCAAGCGCAAGGCTTCAAAATGTAATTTGTCTGCACTTAAGGGGGCCTATTGGAGATATTAATATTAAATGATACATTTCACTAATAACTTAAGCATTTGATTGAGATGGTCATATCACAAACTTTTTGAAGGAATAATATGAAAATAGGTATGGCGTCTATACTAGTAATTTTAAGTCCTCCTCTTAGTAAATTAGTGCATTTTTTGGTCTTTCATCTAGTACGGTCTTTTCCTTAGATATTTTGAGATTCCAAATTGGGGCAACCTTCATAAAATCATAAAACTAAGAGGGTGTTTGGCTAAGCTTATAAGATGTTTAAAGGATCTTATAAGATGTTTTAGAGTTTATAAGTTCTTCTAAAGTGTTTGGTAAATTTTTAAAAAAATATCTTAATGTTTTTTAAATAAGCTGTTGGAAAGCAAATAAGATCTTTTAAAAGAAATACATCTACCCCACTTTTTTTTTAAGATCTTATAATGAGTAAAAATAGGAAATAATCTTATTATCCAAGCACTCTAAAAATTAATCCAAAAAATAAGATGTAACAGCTTATAAGCTCTTAAAATAAGCTTAGTCAAACACCTTCTAAAACTACTGATATGATAAACTCTAATAAACTATTTTTTTTTTTAGTAAATTCAAGTCCATTACAAGGGGGAGTAAGGGAGGGGGGGACTCGAACCCTAGACCTTTACCTTATTGGTAAAGGCTAAGTACCAACTCTCCTAATGAGGGTTGGTACCTATTTTCTTTTGTTTGTAGGCACATATGTTCAAATATCGCAAAATCTTGAACACACGAAATGATAAAAGTCAAAGTTAGGGAATAAACTAGGGGTAATATACTGGAGGTCCCTTAAACGGAACGTTATTAGATGTGGGATATGAGCCCAATATTTTTTTCGTAACTAAATCCCTTAGTTCAAAAAATATATGATATAAGGGCTTTTTTTTTCTAAAATATCTCAATATTACCCTTAATATTAACAGAAAGTTTGTGTGGCATTTTAAAGAGTTATATCTTTTTAATAAATAACGTCCCTTATAATTAGGGATCACATATCAATCACGCTCTATAATGATAGTAATTGTATCTTATTACAATCTCATTAATATATGTCGCACGTAAGTGAAGAAGATCCCATACGTGATAATCTGCAAAACATTGAGCGTAGTATTTCGAGTTTCATCCTCCAGAAGGTATTGTTTTTCATCATCACATAACAGTGGTTCATTGTGCGTTGTTGGTTCGATGCCTTTCGGGTTTTTTTTTTTTTTTTGCACAGTGAAACACAGGATCCACTTATACATTCGAAAATTTACTTGTACGGTGGAAAAACAGATTCACGTAAATTATTGTGTTGATATAATTTTTTTGTAGACGCATCTGACCTTCGTTTTTTTTTTTATTAATTTCATAATGTCGACAACCGTTAAGATTGTGATGAGGTTTGGTGAATGTTTTGGCATCAAGAATGTGTCTGGAGATATGGATTTCAACATGCTTGTTGGTTATGTAAGGGCTAAATGGAATGAGTT